ATTTGTAGCTAAAGAAGACTGTGCAGTTAGCGTGAGGAGTGTTTAGGGCATGGCGTTTTTTGTTAGCTTCTCTAGTGTAGCAGAAAACTTGTCAGTAATGGAAGAGGATGCAATAGCATTAAAACTATTTGATTAGCAACTTCCCTTATTTACTTGGAGTATGAGTTTTGATCTGTTCCCATTTCCAGCACCTAAGTTGCCAAGTATTTTAAATGCTGTGGCTGAGGCATCTAGAAAATGTCATCACCACTTGTTAATTTATGAGAGGCTCTGAGAAGCTGCAGGGCAGTCTGGCCAAGGAGGGAAAAAATGCTCCACCACATGGTGTTCCAGATCAATGATGGTATAATGATATCTGTATTCACCGATCAGTGAACTGTACAGGTCCCATTTTATCAAACTTCTGCCCTGTGGTGATCAGCTTGTACATAGTGATCAATCTGTGTGCTGGGGTCCCCACACACTCCTAACTAAGAGGTGTCATTTGCCATGTGTTTGAGTGAAACCCTGATTTCCCAATGCAAAGTAAACCCACGACTGCATGTGCACAGACGGATGAGGGTGGGATTATTCAAGGTAAGGTTATCCTGTCTGTGCTAACACAGTAGGAGACTAATGAAGGAAGGATTTTACTGTTAAAAATGACACACTACACTTCTGTGTGCACAAATACTGCGTGTACTGCCGTTGGAAATGTAGTTGCAGTCCTTCAGGATGTTCCCAAGCTAACTAACTAGTATGGATCAACTGACCATGCAGCAAAGATAACAGCACAGGCATCAACTGCTCACCTACAGCCCTTAGTGTACTTTCTACTGTGCTGTTGCTGCTCAACCTGTACTGCAGTTACCCTTCTCACTGCAGTGTAGATGCAGCCTCAGCAGCCAGTGCCAAGTCCTCACACTCTTCTGTTTTGATCAGAATTACAGGAAGGCAGAGTGGCATCTGGGGCCAGCCCCAATCTTCCCCCTCATAGGTGCTCCCCTCCCAGTGATGTCAAATACCTCATTTCAGTGGTGACATGGCACAAAAGGAAGTGCTGTGTGAAATTACTGCTCTCTTTCTCTTTTGTACGTATCAGAGAATGAATTCCCTTCCTTGTTAGTTTGCATTTCAAGGCAAAATAGCTGACTCTTTTGGGTTGATGGAAGAATCCAGATCAGTCTGGTGAAACCTGGCATTAAGTATTCCTTATGTACCAGAATGGAGAAAATTATTTTAATTACTTTGGTTTTCCTTTGCTTGTTCTAAATCCCCCTGCATGTCTCTTGAACAGGCCCAGAGCCCTTGGCTTCCCCACTATGGAGCAGTTGATGTCTATTTTACTGGCATGGCTGACTGCTTCCGGCAAACTGTGAAGAACAAAGGTGTGCTTGGACTTTGGAGAGGGCTCACACCCAGTCTGCTCAAGGTGAGGTTTTGCTTTCATCCTGAAGAAATCAAGATACACATTTGGGCACTTGGGTTTTAAAGTTTATGGTATGCCTCTGTACTTGTTAGCAGTTTATAGATGAGAGGTATAACCTCAGGCAGTCTATAAACTAGCTTTGGAATTCAGACTGAGTCATATTTCCCCCAGTGTAAGCTTGGTTTCTAGATGTCACTACTTCCAAGTTCATTTGCATGTCCTCAGAGAAGTGAGTGCTGCTAACATACAAGGTAGGGTACAGATGGAGGATTCCAAATGAACCACTTACAACAGCTAAACAAGTTTTACTTCTCAGGTGAGCTCCAGTAATTTGACATGTTGGACTAAGCTGTAAATAAAATTGCCCTTGTGTAAGCCATTTCCCCAGAAGTCAAAAGTAGTACTTTGGATCAGCTGTTTCAGGACATTGATCGCTTGAGATTGACCTAGGAGATGACAGTCTTGTTCAAAAACATCCTGAATGACCAAGCAGCCTTTTTTCCAACTGGATTTGCCTATCCCACATTGCCCTCTTAGTCATCATTGCGCTTGTAGTAAGTGTGGGTAAAGCTCTTCCCGAATCTTCATTCGCGAAACCGAGCCATCGATGAGTCAACTGGTTACTACAGTCCTTGATGAGTTGAAACCATAAAATAAAACATGATAGCTTAAACAGAAGGTCATTTATTTTACATAAATACATTTTCTAGTGCTGTGCTGAGGATTGCCTACACGGGGCACTACAGGTCAGCTACTGAGTGTTAATTGAATGAGTGTGATTGATTGTAATGGCCTGCATGTGCCTGGCCCTACCTCAGCTGGTGTAAAGCCACATGGCAGCAGAGCTGCTCATCCTGCAAAGGGCAAAAGAAAATTGTACACTCTGCTTATGTAGAATAAATCCCACATTTCCTACTGGGATTTGCTGAGGTTGCTTAGGATTTGCTTAGGTATTTGACAAGTTGTGATAAGCTAGCACAGACCTTGTTCCTCCCAAATCTGTTATAATTAGTTATGTACCAATAATAAAACTACTTTTAGCATGCTGCAGGTGCCAGCCTAGTTTCACGTGAGAGTGACTATATAAATAAGTACAGCTCTGTTAGCAAATCAGATTTGAAGTCCTAGAAGTTTCCTGTTTTAAAACATCTCAGCTAAAAACGCTACTAGTGAGTCTCATCTTGCCTCTTTTTTAATCTTACGTTGCTTTTTTGTCATTATTTTATCAGATTGTCCCATACTTCGGTGTTATGTTTAGCACCTTTGAGTTCTGCAAGCGGGTCTGTCTGTACAGAAATGGTTATATTGAGTCTCCTTTAAATTACAAGCTAACCCCTGGCGTGGACCAGAGTTTACAGCCACAAGAACTGAGAGAGTTAAAGCGCCTCCGGAGGGAAAGTTTTGAGCCAAGGAAATCAGCTCTTGAAAACTGACATCAGAGTGTCTGTTGGAGATACACACACTGCCTTTTTTAAGGAACTTTGGAAGACAGGCGCGCTCAGCCACAGGTACCAGAGTTTCAGCGGACTGTGTGGTTTTAATACCACGAACGAGTAAATCTTGTCTCTCATTTGCTGAACAGACACAAGCGATATGAATAGCAAGCACAGACTGAAGAGGAGAGGTGCAACTAGTCTGAAAACACTGTGCTATTGGAACTTGAACTTACATTACTCGAGGTGCTTTACAATACAGAATAGCCATTTTGAGATAAAACCACTTGCAGAAAGGCAAGATAACTGAGGTGAGAGTAGAGACTGCATCTTAAAAGTAGTTAGAAAATTTAAATGGATATTTTTTAAGTAATCTGAAATACTGAGTCGGCCAAAAATTATGTACAACATGCAGGAATTTCTACTGAAATCTTTTTTTTTATAATACTGTGTAGATATGGCATTCTGTGGATGCAGAATTAGAGTCAGCTGTCACACTCCACAATCCCCTCTTCAGTTTCTGAGACTTAGTCAAAGATAATAATTTTGAATGAATTTTTGGCTGAAAATATGCTGCAGCAACTGGGCTTTTGCTAAGAGAGAACTGTAATGTGCAAACAAACTGTAATAATCCGGAATGACAATCTTGAAAACTTAAGTGCATACTAGAAAATCTCCCTCCCTTTCTCCTGTGTTTTTACTGTGCATATGTGATTGTTTCAGGCTTTGAAAAAGTTTTCCTGAAGCTCTCTATTTCCTGAAAATGTACATGTGTTGGGTGTTTCAGAGCCATGAGCCTTGTCACGTTGTTTTGGTATTCTTAAAGCTCTATTTTTATATTGAACTACTTTTGAGTTCCTGCGCACAGACCCAGGCCTGCTTTGCTGCTCAGAACTTGTCAGCAGGATAGCACTGTGAACACAAGTTGTGGTTTTTCCAGTTTAACTGCTGCGATCCAGGAGCCACAGATGGTTTCTGCAGGCAGCAACCTCTCTGCAAGACCACTGGGTTATTGCCAGCACTGATGCAATTGATGATAGGCCTCTGAGCAGTCTAGTGAGCTTTTGGACAGTAAAAGATCATCTTGGTATTATAGCTGAAGACCTCCAGTTCCTTTGTAGAAGTACAGCTATGGAACAGCCCCGTCCTAGCGCCTTCTGGTAGAAAACCTTAAACCCTGTGTCTACGTGGGAAGGCTGTGACATGCCCACTTGCCAGGCTGTGGCAAGGTGTGAATTACAGCTGTTGTGTTCCTGCCCTGGCTGCAGCAGCCTGGGCTCACACAGGATTTGCCTGCTGATTGGTGTGTGGTTTTGTACTCTTTATGTCCCTGCTGGGTGGAAATGAGTAAATCTCAGAAACTGCTTGGTTAGACCAGGTCACAGCAGGGTGAGGTAATGGAGATTGATGCAGGAACAGCCTGTGACCATGGCGTGAGATGTGCAGAAGGATTTATGATAACTAAGGCCTGGCTTGCACCTAGAACCTGACACTGATGTACCCTACAGCTAAGGTCTTGCAGTATCTCCCTTAAAGAGCCTGCTCAGTTCTGCTTCAGAATGCTTCATATTTGTTTTCTTCTCAGAGAAGAAATGCAAACATTGATAGCAAAAAATTAAGATGGTAGAGAGCAGATCTGGTGGCTCATGCATCACACTGTACATGCTTTTGGCTCTGTAGTCAACCTGCCTACTGACTGTGTTTATCTGGACCTCAGTTTCCCCAGCTGCACAGTGCAGGTGATAATGGTGAGACTTATTTGAGATGCGTGAATAAGGAGATGTGACTTGTGTTGGGGATGATCAGCTTTCTGTAGAGCCCCCTTGCCTTGTTCAGGCATACCTGTATGTTTTTTACTAACGTTGTATTTCTAAATAGATTTCAAAGATTGGGTGATGGGTGCGTGTGAATTTCTGATCAGCTCTTCAAACTTGCTAAGAGTCAAGTGAGTCCAGAAGGTACCTCTAATTTGTTTTGGATATGCTGATAAACACCTTTGTATTGTAATGTACTCCTAGGACCTATAAATCACTGACTAACATTTTCCCAACGAAGCCTCTGCTTTGCATAATCACATCTGTGCAAGAGAAATCCCAAAAAGAGAACACTAAAATATTTAGGACAGCATTGAAACAAAGCGCTTTAGCAGTGGGTCACTGATGTGTAAAACGGTGTGTGATCACCAAGAACCAGCTGTCGCAGGGACAGCCGTTGGGCAGGTGAACTGTAGCTCAGGTGATGTTTGGGTGCAGTGGAGGTTGGAGGGGTGCATGGTGGGGTACAGGTCTGAGCACCTCATCACAGCTGGGCTCAGGGAATACGTACAGTGCCTGGAGGTCCGTGACTCCCTGAGCATCCGGTGTGCAGGTGACAGTACCGGCAGAGGGGTCGGGGTGGGGGTCACCCAGGGTGACACTAGTAGAGTTCTCTCAGTGGGGTCTGAGCCGCAGCGGTGCTGGGCTGTCTTCATGACAGCGCTCAGGCGGTGCAGATGGGCTCGGGGGGGACGCAAGGCCCCGCAGGGGCAGCCCAGCCAGCGCTCCCATGCTGGGCATTGGCGGTTCGCGCCCCACCTGAGGTTGCCAAGCCAGCACTGTCCCCCTCCCACAGTAGATGAGCGGGACGCGGCGGTGCATACCACCCAATGTGTCCGCCGCCACCCCCTATATAAGGCGGCCATTTCATCCTCCGCTGCAGTGCCGCCTCTCACCTCACCTCGCCTTCCACCGCCTCTCGCCATGACAGATGCGGCCCTGTCCTTCACTAAGGATTTCGTCACCGGTGGGGTGGCGGCCACCATCTCCAAGACCCCGTCGCCCTTATCGAGAGGGTGAAGGGGCTGCTACAGGTAAGGGCTGGGGCTGCAGCAAGGACGCGAGTGCCGGGGTCGGGGGGCTGTGGGGCAGTGGTGCTGATGGCTGTGTCTCGCCCTCCGCAGGTGAAGCACGCCAGCAAGCAGTTCTCACCCAATACGCACTAAAAGGGCACCGTCAATTGCATGGTGTGCATCCCCTGGGAGCAGGGCATCCTCTCCTTCTGGTGTGGCACCCTGGCCAGTGTGATCGGGAACTTCCCCAGCCAGGCCCTCAACTTTGCCTTCAGCGATAAGTAGAAGCAGATCTTCCTGGATGGTGTGGACAAGCAAATCCAGTTCTGGCGGTACTTTGCTGGTGACCTGGTGTCCGGGGGTGCTGCCGGTGCTACCTCCCTCTGCATCATCTGCTCACTTGACTTTGCCTCAACCCACCTGGGAGCAGATGTGGGCAAAGCCAAGGCTGACCAGGAGTTCAGTGGGCTCAGCGACTGCCTGCTCAGTGTCTTCCGGTCGATGGCCTCAAGGGCCATACAGGGCTTCAGTGTCTCTCTCCAGGGTATCATCATCTACAGAGCTGCCTACTTTGGCATCTATGACACTGTGAAGGGTAGGTTGACCAAAATGGCACTAAAAAGGGGATCCTGGGCTGCATCAGGCCTGTAGTGATGTCCTGGTGGCTCACCAGCCATTCTCATCAAAACCTCTCTCCCACAGGCTCCCAGACCCAAGCAACACCCCCATCATTGTCAACTGGATGATCGCTCAGACCGTCACTGCTATCGCTGGTTTCACATCATGCCCTTTTGATACTGTCCGTCGTCGCACGATGATGCAGTCTGGTTGGAAAGGAGGTAAGTTTCTTCTTCCTTGCATAGAAAGTATCAGGCATCCCTGAATCAACAGTTGGTGGTGGAGCTGAGGTGAAGGCAGAGTGGCTTGGCTTTCACCAAGCTGTGTAGGTATCTTCACCCCTTGTAAACTGGGGGTGTGAAAAAGGCTGCAGAAGTGGATTACAGATAGGGTGCATGAATGGCTTAATCTCCACAGCATACCTGTAAGGTGGTGTGCACAAGTCAGGTATATGTTCAGTGGGTAGGAACAGCAGAACTTGCCCAGGGATGTTGCAAACTAGTGTCTCTGGGCCAAGGGGAGCCATTCCTGGGAGCAGGCGTGGCCTGGCTGATTGTGCAATGGCTTTGGGGTCTGGAAATGTTGGTGTCAAAGTAAACAGCAGCTGCCTTCTGCTCAGACTGTTCCTTCCCGTGTCTCCTAGGGGTTATGTAGCAGCAGTGTATCTCCTGGGCAATCTTGTGCTCTTATGTGCTAATACTGGAGAAAGTCAAGAAATGGGCTGCACTTGAGTTTATGAAGCTGGAGGATCTTAGGCCATGTTGAACCTGGATGTCATGTGTCATGGGCATCCGATTCCTGATGCTGTCTGTCTCCTGCAGCTGACGTTATGTACATGGGCACCCTTGACTGCTGGTGGAAGATTGCCCAGGACGAGGGCTCCAAGGTGTTTTCAAAGGTGCATGGTCAACTGTACTTCGAGGAATGGGTGGTGCTTTTGTCTTGGTCCTCTGTGATGAAATCAAGAAGTACACATAAGTTGCCTTCTGTTGTGAACTGGCATGTTGTTACATATAGTCCACGACCGTTCATGGACTTGTGTGAAAACCATCTAGTTACTAAACAGCAATGGCTGATGTTTATACAGGTTGGCATGGGGCAGGAGCAACTGCCTGCCCTGCCTTTATCAAATTGTTCTCCCTGATGGGACTCACCATGGTTTCTATTTCAGTCACTCCTGCTTAAAGAGTACAAAGAAATAAAAATCTGAAACCAGCTTTCCTCATCTCATGTTTGTTCTTACAGCATGAGGGGGGTGGGAGACTGCAGTGACTATAGAGAAGGGGGAGAAGGAACCACCTCGATCCTGCACACCTCGCTACCTGCTAACTACCTCCAGCAGGTAAACACAGGGCTGTCTGCCAGAGCTCTGCAGTGTTTCCTGCCCAGTGGTTCCCTGCCCAGGTGTGGGCTGGGGTGGCCCATGTGTGCTGGCTCTGTGCCACCAGTCCTGTCTCAGGCCTCTCTGCTCCCTGAAGGGGATGAAACCTTGTTTTGAAGGTGCCAAGTGTCTAAGTCTTCTTCTGCAAAGCACAGCCTTCCCCATGGTGCTGGATGCCTGGGAGGCTGGAGGGAGGTATTTGTTGCTGTCTGGAGGAGCAGAGCTGGCATCATGTACTCTGGCTTAGAAACTGTGCTGTCTACTCAGGCATGCTAAAACCCAGCCAGAGAACCTAAGTGCAGATAATTGCTGCTCGTCTGTGGGCCTGCTTTGCACACGCATGGGATGTTGTGCTTTGGGGGTGTAGAGCTGACCATAGCCAGCCAGCTCCTGAGGCAGAGCTGCGCTTGCCAGGCAAGGAGTCACATCCCCAGGCTCATCTCTTACCACTAGAAGTTAAGCTTGTCGCAGCCCCAAATTCTAGGGCAAGGGGGAAATTCCTTCATGCTTCTGGGGCGATGTGGGGCAAACACTGCAAGGCTGGGCAATGTGTGTGGCTCAGCCTTTACCCAGAGATCGCTGTGGGTCTGTGAGCATGCCACAGTGCAGCTGCTGGGTTTCTGACTGGGGAGCTGGCGTGGTGAGTGGGTCGTCTGGTCCTCTGACCTTCAGATGAGTGAGTCTTCTTGCTGCCTGCATGCCTTTGGTCCTTTGGCTGTCCAGGCCTGCTCAGAGCAGTTGATCGCAATCACTGACACCAGGCTCAACCACTGCTGAAACAGCTAAACAATCTCTTATGTTGCAAAGTGTAGTAATTGTTCTTATTGCTGAAATCCAAATGGAGCAGCTGGGCATGAGTGTGCAGCACTGTCCCACTGCAGGCGGCGGGACATGTGACCCTGTGAATGGCCATGTGTGTTCATGATGGGGAATATCTGCATGTTGAGATTGCCACGCTGCTGAGCCAAAAGCCTTTGCTGATGCTTTTCAATTGCCCCTGGGCTCCTGGTGATATCCCCCACTGCCTGTGATCCATGGAGCAATGCCACACATGGCGGGCAGCGTGCTGAGGGCTGAGGAGAGCAGGCAGCAGGCTGACAGGGGGTTGCGCCATGGGGCAGCATTACCAGGAGCCCTCTCCTTCTGCACAAATGCTAGCTGATTAACGAAGGGCTCTTGGGTCTTACTGCTCCTGCTGCTAACATGTTCCAGATTTCAAGGGCTGCTCTGAAATGCTGCTGGTTGCTGAGCATGGCGCATCCTTTCCTCTCCCTTCTACAGTGGATGTGTGGCTGGTCCGTTGGCACACAGGGGTAAGTGCATCATTTCTTCTTCCACACGGTGGTGGGTGACCGAGATGCTGAGCCAGGCTATTGTGTTGGGCTGCAAAGGAGCTGAGTTAGGGGACACATTAAGTCCTCAGCCCTACAGCATTTTGCACTGGGCTTGGGGTGCAGGGCTGGCACTGAGTGAAATGAGTTGTAACTACCCAGGTTAGTTACTGCATTTGGGACTTGGGAAACAAGCACTGGGGCATGGGAGATGAGGGGTAGAGCCCTCAATGGGTTTTCCCTGCGCTGTGCTGCTGGGAGCATGGGCTGGCAGACCCCTCTGGCCTGGGGCTCCCATGGGATTTAACCTCCCTCTCCCGGCAGCTCCGCAGGAGGTTTTATCTGGGGAAGCAGGCTGGGGATTCAGCTGCTGTGTTTGCCTGGCACAGAAAGATATTACAGAGGGATTAAGGACTTTGTTCTTGTGGGGAAACGGAGGACGGGAAGGGGCCTGGTGCCAGCTAGTGGCAAAGCACTGAGACCAGGCTGTGCTGCCCTAAGATGGCAGGGTGGGTTTTCCTTTTGAATACAGTTCTCCCGTGGGTAGTGCCGAACATCTCATAGTTCAGAGTTTCCTCCACAGGAGCCATGCCCATGCTGGCGTACTGGCCCCATTGCTGGCAGGGAAGGGTGGGCGAGCGCCTGTATCGCTGCTTTCATCTTGGCCCCTCGTCTGGTGGCCATAAATCCCAGGCTTAGGAGCTGTTGATACAGCACGGCTGCACATGGAATTTGTGTGGAGCACTTGTCAGTGGCCGGGACAGGTGATGAATGGCGCTGGGTGTCTGGCCTTGCCCCTTGCCAGCTGTCTGCCACTGGGACCTCTCTGCCTGGGTTTGAGGCTGAAAGGCAAGGCAAGGGCTGCCACCCTCTTGCTAGTGGGATTTGGGAGGTGCTAATGGCAGCAGAGATGGGAACAAGGCTCTGGGACTTGTCCCATATGCAGGAGTGATGGCTGAGCTTCCTTCCTCTCTCTGCTGGTGATGGGTGCAGGGCCAGGCAGTGACTGGGAGGACTGTGTGGGTTTTGCGGGTTATGAGGAACAAGGCATAACCTTGTAGAGCTACTCTGACACGGTAATTCATACTAGTTCTTGCGAAGGTGTCTGGAAACTGGACTGGACTAAGCCATGAAACATGTAAAGGTAAGTCTGGCCATGTGCGGCATTATTGTTGGAATAGATCCCCTCTTCCACTTCAGTTTCACTCACTGCTTTGCTTTGGAATACCTCTGCATCCAGACAAGTTCTTACATACAGTATAGTGCTCGGTTACACAAACAAATCTATCACTTGACTGTATCTACAGATTTATAAAAACTAATGCTGGCTTTCACAGTAACACAAAATCTTGGCTCTTCTTTGCTCTGAACACTGGTGCAGATCACCCAGCTGCTGCCAGGATGTGGGAAGCTCTGCAGAACGGTTAGTTTTATCTATTATAATAGACATTTAATCAAGCATTTGAACTAGGTGCCCCTGCTTCCTGTTGATACAGTCAACTAACATCTTTTAGTTCATTTAGATCTAGAAATGAAAAACCCAACTTGATTTAAATTGTTGTGAACTAGATCTGGTCAGGATAAGTAATACATAATAATGTATTGGATCAGAGTCTCTGTGGAGATGCTTCAGCTGTTGACTGCATAACTAGAGTGTGTTAAAACTATCTCAGGGACTGCCAGTGGACAGACTACGTACTCCCCTTTCTGACTGAGTCCCTGAGCAAGTCCTGAGCCAACTAGGCAGATCTTTAATGACAGGAATGAAAACCACTGAACATGGCCTGGTCTAAAAGCCAGAATGGAGGAGTGCTTGTACCATGAACACTGCCTCCAGGCTCAAGGTGTGCAACTGAGGAAGTTGATGGCAGTTGGTAATGGCTACTTTGGACAACTTGTGCTGAGCTCTGCACTCCCCAAATCTACTTTGTGCTTCAAAAACCTAGAGATAGCCCCAGGCCCCCTGGCAGCCCCTTCACAGCTCACATCAGCTGAAGCTCTGTGTTTTGTCACTCCCAACCTTAATCCTAACTGTAAATCACTTTCCCTGAGCTTTTGTCTGGGTGTCACTTGAAGTGGGATTGTACTTCATCCTTTATGACAACTGAAGTCTGCATCCCAGCTGGCCTCGCAGGGTTCAATACCCATTTTCAAATTTCAGTCTTTGACTCCTGCTTGGAAAAAACTTCTTAATGTAGAGACCAGCCTGTGGTTATTTGGTGCTTGGGCAGCTCCCCAGGGAAAAAACAGAGGCTTTCACCTGGCTGGACTCTGCCACCACACTTGGAAAAGGTGTTTGTGTAACAAAGTTGTACCCACTCATTGCTCCTACCCTTCCTAAGTATCCTGTCACTGGACACAGGCTTCTGGAAATAGGCTTCAGATTAACAGATGATCAGCAGTGAACTAGATCAGCGCTGCTCAGGTTAACCGTCACATGCATTTACCCAGCTTGGCATCACACTGTCACACAACCAAGGGACACATCCTGTCTGCCAGCTCTGGGGCAGAACTCACTGCCTCCCCCCAAAAAAAAGAAGGTACATCCTTAGGCTAAGCAGAGCCATTTTCCCGGTCAGGGTTATAAAACCAGATGGAAAATCTTTATTGATTATGAAGTCTTCCATAATAATTGTGGGGGATGAAGCACCGTGGTCACTGTTCAGGTTATTTTATAATACTTGGTAGAGTAAGAACATCCTAGGAAAAGTATTTCAGTTCAAATCCGTAACATATTTAATCCCAAGTAAAGCAACAAGGACTATAGAGCACTGTTACTACATCACACAAGAGACACAAAATACTGTTTCCCAAACAAGGTCCTTTATGCTCCCATTCTTAATGTTGTCTTTATCCAAGTCCTTAGTGGTCACCGCATTCAGAACAATTTTTCCTTCCCCTTCACATTTTACATCTCAAAGTACTGATTCTGGTTTACAGAATGGGTTAGTTCACACAGTGCAGTTATATTCTACTTTAAAGGATTGTACAAGTAACCTCCAACTGCCTATCTGTACTCATACGATTATTGTATAACAGGCAGGAAGGTTTTGGTTTCAGTAGTTCAAAACAGGGTTGGATTTCATTCTCTTGTACCAGGCAGTTGTCTGTTGGGAGTGCAATTCTGTCAAACTGCAGCTTTCCAACGTTCAACAGGAGCTGAGGATTAAGAGCTGCAGCCAAGCCTCTGACAGCCTGTCTGCTGCTCAGGGTGAGCAGCAGCACTGTCCCCAGCCTGGCACCCAGTCTTCTCAGACTGTGTGTGAATGGCACATGTCTCCACCTGCTGCACATTTTGGACACATTTAAAATAACAAAGTGAACAACAGGCACAGAGCTTACTTTTGTAGCCATTTCTTTGTTGTACAGTTGACCTATAGCTCTAATACACTTATGCAAACCTTACACATTTGAAAACTACCAAAATAAAAAGGTGGGTATTTGAACTCAGGAAGGCACCCAGTGAAGATTTTCCAAAAGTAAATATTCTGGAGGAGCAGCTT